CTTTGTATTGCTGTTTATTGTTGAAATAAAAGCTGATTCTCATAACAGCCAATCTACATTTACATCCATAGCAATTTCACTACCTATTTACAATTCAGATTCTTTCGGTTAAGAACTTACCATTTTACACCTTTACCTATTACAGTTAAGGAATTTACTTAAATTTCTCAACTTTAGGAAACGTTACCCTCGTTTCTAAAGCCACCAAAAAATGACGTTGCTTTCTCGGAGTTTACGTTTAACCCACTCAAATTGGTCGGATGATATTTCAACTGAGGCAGAATATATTGTCACTAAGCAAGACAGGAATGCATTTTTCACTCTTTCTCTCTCCCACAGAAGGCGTGAAGCCTGTAATCCCTGTGATCAGAGGTCCTAACCACTATAATCATGCCTACTGTCCTCCACACCTCCACCTACTCGACAAGTCTCCTTCTGGGAATATATTTATCTGGAGCCTAACTAACGCGAGGCCATATGTCACGATGTGGGCAGAGAATAGAATCAGTTCTCAGTAAAACAATAATTTGCTTGCTAGAAACCACAGGGGGTTTCCAGAATTAATATTTACAAAGTAACTTTACAACTTTAGGGCGACTTTGAAACGTCTAAAGTATAAGGTTTTTAAATAAAAAAAGTGTTACATAAACGAATACTTCGCAAATAATTTTTTCATGGTCCAACTAATGTTAACAGAATAATTGGTAAAATGGCCCTGAAATTAAAATGTAATATTGCGGTCATTTTTCATAGTAAAAATTTAATCTTTTTTTAGAATCTGGCCCACCTTTTCAGGTAGGAAGTAATCTTTAACGTGAAAGGATTATAATATTATACAGAGTACCCGGTATGCCACCACGCTGGTGAAAAACTAAAGACAACAAACGTTAAAAGCAGTCAAATTTCAAATCAATAATATTGAAAACGAAAACTTAAAAGATCAATCAACACTTAATCACAGCTGCACAGTCCGGGAATCGAATCATATTATAAAACAAATAATAGCTGGGTAGCTGAATGGTCATAGTGCTCACCAAGTCTAAAGGTCGCCGGTTCGATCCTGGGAAAAGCGAATAGGGTTGTAGTGACAACGACAGCTGATGTAATGTTGTCTTAAAAGCCTAGTCCACACATGGAGACTGAGTCGGCCGACTGTCTGCCAACTGTGAAGGGACAGTCGGCAGACAGTCTGTCAACACAGTTTCGGATACAAGTTTCCGATGCGTTTTGCGTCCACACTAGCCAGCCAGTGTTTCTATGTTTGTTGGTATGGCCACAGAAAACATACTAATATTATGTTATAGTATTTTTTTAGTACTATAACCAATTGTTCCACGCGGTTAGCATTCTGGGTTATAGTAGTATGTTTTCTGTGGTATGGCCGACCGAGGATGACTAATTATATAATTTGCGGGCTTCATTTTTCTGAACCATGGGCCTAATGAATCTAGGAAGAGACGATGATGGACCTAACATTTTCTCGAGCAAGGTTTGTACTATGGTCACAATCTTCTATCAGACCTTCAGATTAGGTGGAGGACTTAGGAAATTCACGAGGTTGACTTCTAAAGATTTTGAAATTTTGCTGGGCTTTATTGGTCCTAGGATTTCAAACTTGAAGAGATGAACAATTCAATAAAATGTCATATAATAATATAAATCATTGAAAACTAATTCCAAAACATTCAAGAAGAAACTCAATCCAACTCTTTTATTACTGCCCAAAAATCGTTATATTTATAGTTAGACCGCTGTGCAGTCTAACTATGGGGTGGATGTTGAACCCCTTCGGCTTGTATCCAGTCTCCTGTCTCCAGACACGTCCACACATACAGACTTGAGACAAAAGTTGTGTCTCTTGTCTTCGTGTTTCCCATTCGAACGGGAAACAGAAAAAAAAAAAACACTGTATTTTGTCTCCAGAAACATCGACATTTGTCGGGAGACAATGTTTCCGCAGACAAATCGCCATGTGTGGACGAGGCTTATTTAGCAACGCATTATAATTTTATCCTGGTTATTGGGTTTTTAGAGAAAGGTACACAAATTAACTCTTCAGTAAATTATTTTGATCTTATATTTAATTGTTCGTAAGTTTATTTGATCAAACAACACGGCCAAAGGGTTTTGAAGGTAGGCCTAAGAAACTGGACTGGGCCAATCTGCCCTGAATCATTGGGGTTTTAGTAAATGGCAAAAGTTCCTGGGTAAGCCCACACAACACAAGAATATCCTTGGAATGTCCTGGGGATATCCCAGTGGGATATGGGGGATATACTCTGTATATCCCGCAATGACCTCGGGATATCCTGGGAACTCCCTGGGATATCCCTATGTCCGCCCAAATCCTGATCCCTGGGATATCCCACCAGGATATTATACATAAAAACACAAAATAATAAATATTTAGTCTGAAAAGCACTTTTAACAGTTAAGTATTTTAATAAAAATAGTTCTTAAAAACAAATTTTGGGGGAAAATAGAAACAAAAATATTTTTGCTCAGACGAATTTTGAACCGGGTACCTTTGACTTATGAAACTACCTCCTGAGCTATTTGTGATTGTTGAAATTACTAGTTTTCAAGTGGTTAAAGAGGAGCTGACAACTGAAATGGTCGCAATACTTAAATATTTTTGATACTATGATTCTGTTTGGACATCAAGTTGTTAAATTGCTTTATGGGAGTTATAGAGGATACTGTAATAAGAATATAGATTATAATTGCTATGATTAATTAATATTTCTCCTTAAATTTTCAACCAATACTTTTTCTCAGATAATTTAGAATTTAAATTAAAAAGAAAATATTTGCATTATTATTATTATTATTATTATTATTGTAAGCAGGTGTATTATTGTTATTGTTATTATAAAATGGTAAAAATTTTGATAGTTATTATGCTCCACGGGGATATCCTACGGATCTCCAAAGGATGTCCTAGGGATATGATCGGAAAACATGATTAATTTTTATAAAGTCATTAGTAACGTTATTAGTTATTTTAATTCGAAATAGTAGGTATTGAAATACTTTTTAATAACGTTTCTCAAGCACTTGAAACTTGAAAAAATACATCCAATACTATAAAATATGTTTTAATATAGGTAGCCTACCGAGAATATCCATAGGAAGTCCCCAGGATATCCTCAAAATGCATTCGTTTGTGTTGGATATGTGCAATATCTTAGAGTGATCCTAGGGACATTCTCAAATCCTGGGATCTATGTGGGATACGTGGGAACTGGTCAGGATCGTGTGCTGTATTCGGTAGCATATTTCGAGAAGTACTTGAGACTTGAGTTATTAGTGGATTTTACAAATAAATTATGAACAAAGGATATCATGGATATTCTAGGGATAAGCCAAAGATATTCCTGTCCCTCGATCAAAAACCCTCAAAAAATAAATTAATTATTGTAACGGGAATATGCCAGGAATGTCCCAGGGATATTCCTATATCCCATGGGATATTTTAATATCCCAGGAATGTCCCAGGGATATTCCTATATCTCATGGGATATTGGGACGTTTTGGGAACTCTGTGGGATATCTTGAGGATATTCTGTGCTATGTGGGAGAAGGTTCTGCTCTTGTGGTCTTAGTCAGTAAAAAAGCCAAACAAATAATCTAACCCCCTATTCTACACACCCCCCCCTTCATTCATACGAAACGAAGTTTGCAACATTGTCAAGGATTTTTGTTTAGGATTTATTAATTGATTTGTAAAAACAAATAAATACAGACAGACGCAAAACTAGGCACCACAGACCCATGTTCCTATGTTGAAATGTGTTTGTCTTGACCTAGGCAATAACGCTATGTACTTGTGTCCAGAGAGTTATACAGGACACCCTGTAGACATCACTATTTTTGTAACTGATTTTAGTTGCAAATTCTTGGACGCAATAACAGGTAAACTGAGAAGGATTTTAATGGTTTTAGCGAATTTCCCATAGGGAATAAGCTATTACCGTAGGTCTCATGGTAATAAGACAAGACCTGGACCCGGGACCGATTTACTTTTTCGGTTTGAGGTCCCCAGAGCCCAAAACACCATTTTAAATTTTAACAGGTTTGGTTTATTAAGAGAAAGTGGAAGTAAAATAAGTGTTATGCCATTGTATAGTAAGTGCTTATTAAAAAAATATGTTGCATGTTTAGGAATTGGTAATGTGTGTGAATTGCGCAATGTGTATTGGCTTTTTACAGAAAAGTCAAATTTAGAACATTCCTGTGTGTCACAAATGTTAAAGATTTAAGAATGTAAACAGATGGGAACGTCAACATTTTTGAATTGGTAAAATTATGGTAGGATTTGCGCTTTTTTAGAGAAAACATTGTTCTCATAGCCGTGTTTTTTTTATTTTAAACAACATTTTAGTCTGCTGGAACTCACATTCCCAACGATTGTGTTTTGTTTTGTATACGTGATCAACAATCAAACTTCTGAGCTCATGGTTTGATGCTAATAGTCTTTCTTTATCATTTACTACACTGCCATTGTCGGTTGCCATGGAAACAAAATCAACAAACCTAACCTCAAGTGAAAACAAAACAAACCTTCGCACAACACGATACAACAAAACGTCAATCAAACAACAAAGCAGAAAGTGCTATTTCTGCTATACTATTTTTATTTATATCACAGAGTTTACACCATAACCTTAGCCAAGTATACCATTTTGCAACTGTATTGTGTCAATTAATGCTGTGTAAGTTAATTAGTCTCATGATAGGCCTATCTTACTCCAAGTCCTAGTGTTACTGTACCTACATTTTCAAAGTCTAGCCTGGTCTAGCAGTAGCAGTTTAAACTTTCCCTGCTCAGTGACTGTTCTATTTAACATTACACTTTAGTAATGTGGTGCTAATTCAACATTAACTAAGTTTACAACTCCACGTAATGTTTGAAATGTTCCTTATCGGTCTTCCCGAATAAGTTAGGCTATATCACAAAATGGTGATTGTAAACACAAAAGAATCACAATCCCATTGGCAGTCTCCAAGTGTCACTCAAGAAACAAAGGCAAGATTTAACGATTTATTAAAAGCAGCTTTATCCAAGGAAGCTGTTGATCAACAATCTGCTTTATCATCAACAAAGAATCGTACAAAGGTAGGTTTAAAAACGGCTGCACTTTACTTGACGTCCTACACTCATTCGATTGTTTTTTCGATTCGATATTTTCATTCGATTGTTTCATTCGATATATCGTTTGGTTAGTTAGGTAAGGTTAACCTAACCTAAAAACGATAAAAAAAAATGAACGATATATCGAATGAAGCAATCGGCTGCACTTTACTTGAAGTCCTACACTCATTCGAATGAAAATATCGATCGATATATCGATTAATCGATTGCGTCATTCGATAGCCTATATCGTTTGGTTTGTTAGGTAAGGTTAACCTAACCTAACTAACCAAACTATATATCGAATGAAACAATACAATTGAATGAAAATATCGAATCTAAAAAAACAATCAAATGAGTGTAGGACGTCAAGTAAAGTGCAGCCAAGCAATCAATTAATCGATATATCGATCGATATTTTCATTCGAATGAGTGTAGGACATCAAGTAAAGTGCAGCCTTAAAAACGAAAATTTCCTGATAGCGTTAACCAATCTCAGTGTCCAGATATTAGCTTAGGCCTAACTCGTTTGTTGGCATAGGCTAGGGTTCTTTTATCCATTTTACGACAAATGCTCTCAACAGGTCTTTGTCTTCAAGGCAATGTTTAGATAGCCTAGGTTAGTTAGTAGGACGCCTATGAAAAACAAATTTTGTTCAGCCGATTCATTGGTTAACTTAGGCTACTAACAACTTAAGAAATCGTACCCAAATTGTTCAACTGAATGAAATGCTTAAAGCAAATAAGTTAACAAAATTTAGTTGGACACTAAGTGACTAAAAGTCTCAACCTTATTTAGGCCTAATTGTGTAGGTTTAATCTAAATCTTGTAGATACTGTGAAAACTCAACGAATGTACTGTAGGCCTACTTATGTTTGCAGATTCTTGCCCATCATATTTCCTTAGGCCTTAAAATCATATCCTAAATTCAAGTTACCTAAAGATACCATGGATATTTTGTACCTACATGACCTCATTGCATCATGAAAAATATAAATCCGGATCCATAATTTCTTACTATCTGAACGTTTGAGTGAACACCAAAATATTAAGCTAGTGGGTAGAAAGGCAGCAGGAAACCTGCAGACTAAATGCATTTTAGTTTACCTGATTTGATTCATTGAGTTGTTGCAAGTGTAGTAGGAGGTTAGCATCTCAGACTTTGTAGCAAGTTGAGGGATATGATCAATTCCTGGTGTATTCACACGCTTTAGGTAAATGTTGGGTCGCTTGCTCTTAAATTAGTTTGTTACAGTAGGTACTTTGAGTAAAAGTTCTGCTGACATTGACGACAAGAAAATCCCTATTTTAATAATTTAGGTAGGCCTACCCTTGAAACTATACCCACTGAAATCTATTATGTTATCTATTATGTACTGAAATCTCTATTAGCCTATGTTACAGTCTACAATATTTATTGGTGCAACTTATAGCCTATGAGGCAGGATAAAAAATCTTTGTTTTACCAAGTTAGGCCTATGCATTTTTATAATTTGAGTAGGCTTACCTATCGTGGCAGGATTTCAAAAATTTAGAAAATTTAAGTCAGTAGGCTTTCAACAATTTTATTATTTAGGCAGGTCAGATATTGGAAGCATAGGCTTACATTATGGGATACCAAATAATTTGTCCAATGCTACATCTGCTATTTATTTATTATCAACGGTTCCACCATTTTACAATGTTGATTAATAATATCAAGACAGCTAGATTTCAAATGACTTAAATAATGAAAAATATACAATCAATTAATAACAAAATTACAACTACAATCTATTTACAAACAAGACTTTGCAGTTTAATAATAATATTTTAGGTTACATGCAAGTGCAATAATACCGAAAGATAATGGAATGCTCTTGATGGTGGTGGTTATCTAATGATTGGTGATTTAGAACTTAATTGACGAATACATAAACTTAGGTCATATCCAACATACATTTAAAACACATAATTAATGTATCAAAACAAAATTACCACATAAATGAGTAACTCTACAAACCCCTACAATACATACCTTAAATATAGTTAGCATACACTCAATCTGTTGATTGATAAAATTCACTTAACCAAAAATGACAAATAAAACTCCTTAGTTCTAAATATCACAGGATTACATGACATTCAATGTACATGTTCAACGCAAGTTCTCTCAGCTAACTGTGGTTCATACTGGCAATTTGTTTATTGAACAATGAGCCATAAAATGCATGCCTTGTCCCAAGCACCACTGTGAGCCAACAATTTTTACCGTCAATCACTTTAATTTTTCAGAAACAGTCTGTGACTCCACAAGAATCTATCCCTCTTCATAAATTACCAGTTAGAAGCCGAAAAAATGAAAACTTTGGAGGGAAATTCAATGCCTATTCATCAGAAGAAAGTCCACAGAACGAGAAAAGGTTAGTGTGTTCTTTGTTTTTTCGTTTTTATCTCCAAATTATCAATATTTCAGCATGTCTTCACTTCTAATTTATTAAGAACCAATTTTTATTCTATTTCAAACTTTAAAAATAAAAAAAAATTTGTTAAGTGTTTATGCATTACATAAATATTAGTGCTAAGGTAGATAATTGCTTAGGTATCATAATGTTCAAAACAAGGCCTTAAATCTGAAGTGATAGGCCCACAAAAAGCTTTTATATGTACCCTATCTTAATTTTTTTTTACAGGACGTGATGTTGATTTTCTGATTCATTCAGAACTTATTCAACTTAAGATTGTAGACTTTTATAAAGTAGCCTACTGCTACTTATAAGTGTATCTCCTAAAGCAAATCCAAGCTGATGCTGATACAAAAATAGCTCAATTAACCAGCAAAAATATTTAAATGTGTAGCGTGTAGCTCTATCTCAACAAACATTCCCCCAAAAAATTATATAATTGTTGTTTTTATCCATGCAAGATAAGTTTTGTATCATATTTCAAAACTTGATAAAGTTTCCATTTTGTTTTACAGGCAAATTATCGCAGAAGTCCACACCTCTAGAACCCAGCTACTTCAGTCTAGCAGTGATGACGACATTTCGGCAGAGAAGAAAACGAAGAAGAAGAAAAAGAAGTTTAAATTGAAGCACACGTCCGATTTAGCACAAACAATCATAGGAAATGAACAAGACAATCCAGCATTCACCGTAGAAGATGAACTAGTTGAGAGAAGTTCATCTAGATTATCGAATAGAAGTTACGTCTTAGAAACTCCAACAATTCCAGTAGAAAATTTGATCTCGGTAGTTAGTAACAATGCTAGTCCTTCTCGGCTATCTAACAAAAGCTATACAATTGAAACTCCCACTTTCACTAAACAGGATCTTGACATTTTGACAAGTAGACCTGCATCTCAGCAAAAAGGTGACTTAGATGATCATTTTAGCCCGTCTCGCATATCCAACAGAAGCTATACAATTGAAATACCCACAGTTGATTCAACTGTGAGGAAAACTCCAGTTCCTCTTCCTAGAAGGAAATCGCTCAAGTCTTCTGAAGTTGAGCAACTCGAAGAACCTCAAGGACAGTTGGGTGAGGATAATACTCCGGCGGATACAGTAATAACCATATTTCAGTCCAATGTTGATGACTTAGAAACACCAAGATCAGATGCTAAACTTCAGGAGTCACAATCACAACATACTGATGATGGAGAAATGCCTCTTGAAGATAGGAAGTAAGTCTTAATTTGATTTTGTTGTCAAATAGTATAAAGCACATTCCTGAAGCTATCATGTTTTTCACTTGCTTAAACAATTGAAATTTATATGGTTATTTTGCTTTGAAATCAGTCCTTGGGTACTGTATGTGAAAAAACTGAATTGTTGCCAATTAAGTAGAAATGAACAACACCACCCATCCCGTTCACAATAAACCCACGGGCGATGTAGTAAAAATTTTGGTAGCTCTTGATGCAGTCCAGACAGCTGGTGTAGTCTATAAAATTCTTTCAACAGTCCTTTTGGTAATTTATACTAATTTCAGACAGAAAAGGAAGAAAAAGAGGAGGAAACAATTGAAAGCTCAAGAGGAAATTGAGTTACAAGAACTTCTAGTGCATGGCGAGAAGAAAAAGTCTGCAACACTTCTTGTTGATGAGACAAAATCAACTCCTAGTGTCAAGAGTTTAATCGAGGCTGCAGAAAACTTTGAGAAGACCACCCAACCTTCTGATGGTAAATTTATGTTGTTCTGTATATTTTTTCTAACCACATTCGTACTATGATATTTGAAATTATACTATTAGTGGTTATTAGCACTTTAAATGTGGGTATTTGGATGGACTAGTATGGAATTGATGTGTGGGGCGCTTGAGTTTTGGGTTCAATGTTTTAAGGTACCGTAAACATGATTGCTTCCTGCACCTTCCTTGCTCCATGTCCAATCCGGCCCAACTATATTCCTTTGTCCTGCTGCTCTATTCTGCCTCAGAGCTACACATATCTTGCTTTAAAACTACTGAAATGGATGATTTGCGCCTTGCATCCCTCCTTCTATGAATTTAATATACTGTTCTTTATTGAATAGGGGGAACTAAACAAATAAATGTTAAAAAATCAGAATAAAAGTATTGTATTCTAAGGTGACAAAGTTGTAAATATTATAGTTTATGTAGTAAAGTTACACTTTCTTCCGTAGTTTCGAGCGAGGGGATTGTTGGAGTGACGATTCACGGAGTGGACTGTCCCATCATAGATCCGTTGGTACGCCACCCGATGGTTTGTTTATACATTGTTGACACTTCAGTAGGAGAGTTCTACCGCAAGTCTGATCCAGGCCGATCAGTTTGCTACAACAGAGAAAACACTGATTACGTCCTGCCCATCATGACTCATATGTTTGACTTCCAACAGCGCAAGTAAGACTGGTATACCGTGTTTCTGAATGGATAGTTTGTTTGTTATTGTTTTTAAAATAACTTTGTGAAAAAATACGGTGTTTGAAACCTATTAATGTAACCCGTTACCAGAGATTATTTGTTGATTTTATCATGCCGTGTCAAACAATGTGTCTGTTAATACAAACCATAAGGATAAGTTAATGCAGCAAATGATGATTTTAAGCGCAATTCTTAAAAAATCATCCATCCTCAACTTTTACTTGAGTCTTGAGTCGCCCACCATTTTTTGTCCCTCCCTTGAAGCTCGTTCACAGATGGGTGACTTTTCATGAGTTGCCCACAATAGCTGACCAGTGACCTCACAAGACAAAAATGGTGTTTAAACTCTTGATCAACGGTGCTCTCTCCTGGCCGAGACAAAGACAATGTCTTAGGCCAAAAGGCCCACCAGACCTAACCGTCCACCACACTAAAACTAACTCAAATCCTCTAAACTAGTAAACCTTAATTCCAAGAGTATTAGCTTGACTGCCAGACTGCAGCACATACAGCTTTCAGCCATATTTATTGAGTTTTAGCTAGTTCGGTAAGTAAAGGTTTAGTGCGGTTTCCATTAGTGGCTGTTAATTTGCCTATAGGACCTTAACCTGAAACAGTGTACTAGCAGGTTAGTACTACCACTAACTTTGACTATTTATGATTGATAGAATTTGTCATTCCATCCCCATGTTAAGCTATCGCCAGTTTTGGAATCAAAAATGACGTAGTTGAATTGATCCACTGACAGAGTCCACTGATTTAAATTACCGGTGCTGATGTTTCTTGTATACACCAATATTACAACAAAGTCAAACTAATAAAACCACATACTGTAAGCTGTATGTAGCCTATCAGTTATTTCAGTATGCTAACAAAAACCACAGGAGAAAATAGAATTAGACTGTAGCATACTCATGAATGGCTCATTCAACGATGTCCTTTTTAAATAAAAAATAGGCTACAGCTGGTAGATGGATGGGATTTTTAGTTCAGTGCCCAAAGATCAAACAGTACTACACAAATATGTCATGTTAAAACGAATCAAATTTGCTAAACACTAAGTAAAAAAAATCTGTTCAGTTCTCCTGGGGGTACATTCTTTAATAGCACAAACTTAAGGAAAAGGCATACAGTACTCAATATCGCATTAATTTTGGTTTTTCCTTCAATCTGTAAAGATTTTGAGTTTTAAAACATTACCAACAGGAGTGTAGTTCCAGTCTGGGAAGAATGTTTGTTGCTGAACGAATCACCCTCGCATCTCCTCACGCCTCACACGCTGTTGCTACTGGAGTTGTGTGACGTAGTGTCGTCTGCGGTGGCTAGTAGCCGTCACGCTAGGCTAGGCAGTGCTGCAGGGCGACATGTTGTGGCTTGGGCCTTCCTACGACCTGCGGCCAGCTCACTGCTGCAGCTAGGCCAGAGGCTCAGGCTACAGCTGTTCAAACCTGGACGAGCTAAGGACTCGAGGCCGTTGACACCAGCGGTAAGTGGATAGAGGGTGCTATGTGTCATATTTAAAAAGATAATAAATTATTAAATTATTCAGTCAGTAAAGGAAGCATAATAAAGAATATTTTTTTTAAATCCTCTAGCAATATTTGGTTTGTCAGCCTGAAACTCTCCCACTGAGCCACTATGTTGATTTTCTTATCAAACTGTAATGGTTATTTTTCGATATTTTTTCATATACATAAAGCAAGGTGTCTACAGCTGTCCTTATAGGTAGGATTTTTACTTTATAATTCAAAAAGTTAATGGTCCCACAGTTTGATTAGAATTATAAATAACCTTGTGTAAGGAACTGAACAACTGAAGCATATTGTGTATCCTTGAAGTCAAATTTTTATGACTCTGGGCAAAATAAAAACAAGGAATGTTTGTTCCTGGAAGAAACTGCGTACTCATTCAAAACATCCCTACTCAAAAGTTTTTAAACCAAGTTTTGGTCGCCTACATCGTGTTGACCAAACCCCTTCCATTTTGGTTGCCTATAATAATTTCAATGCCGCAGGTATATGAGTGGTGGGGCAGTGCGGCCAGAACCAAATACCCAGGCAGCTTGTATATGACTGTGTCTCAACTGGAGGCCCCCGCCACGCCTCTCTCACCCCGCCCAAGGTCACAGTCAGCACTGCAGGAAGAGCGAGGCTCTCGGGTCTCTAACTCGGCTGCTTCCACCTCAGCAACCGGCTCTCCTGTGGCTGGCGGGGTACATGGGATAGATGAGGTAGGGAGTAATGCTGACTGTTACAACCTAAGGTATTTATTTGTGGAATAGAGTTGCAGCCTCTTCACAACTGGTGATTATAAAAGCAATTATGGTTCAATTAGATTTTTAAGATTTTTACAATGCTGACACGACGAGGTACGTAATTTAAGGCAGAAATAACTGAAGGATGAATGAATAGCTTGAATATGACTAAGATATGCTGGTTCTTTAGCTAAAATTATTTATTTAAAACTCAATTATCAAAGACAGATTGGTCCAGATTTGTAACTGTCAAAAACAAAAAGCTATTCACTTTTCACAAGGATGAAACTGGCAACCTTTTGATGACCATGTGTATTCTTTCCTCTTAAATTTTAAAAAGAGGTCTAAAATTTGACATCTTTACTTTTGAAGCGCCATTAATGGTAAATGTGTTTACAGCAGTCTACTAGGCACAGTGAGGTGCATTGGTCGAGACTGCCAGGTCAGAGTTGTCTTGTGCTCAACACTTGTGTACAGACTCTCCCTGTGGAGGGTAGCTTGAGTGTACAGTTCAGTGACAACGGACTGTGGCTGGCGTGCGGACGACAGGACATTCAGATCTACTCTGTACCCCTGTGGCAGCACACCACCGCCCTCACTGGCCACCAAGGTACAGTTAACACTTTTTGCGTTTTAGCTCCAAATGTCAGTATGTGCTTAAATATCTATGCAAGCTATACAACAATAATCATTTTGACAGACTCTGAACTCCTTTTATGATATGGTGAGCTCTGAGCTCTCTCATGTTATGGACAGTGTTGTTCATGTAGTTTTAATTTGATTGAGAAAATCGAAGTTCAAATTATAAATTGTAAACAAATGTTTAAATTGGATTTTTACAGAGTTATTGGGTATTTTATAGAAAATAGACCAAGTCAAGTCGAACAGACCTTTACTACCGTGATCACAGAAACGTTTCTCTACAGGTTTTGCGATAAATTCATGATTGCAGAGGATAATGACGACTTTCCATGACCATGGGAGACGACAATATCTACATGACTGTGGGGTATATTCAAGATTTTGATGCAATTGTGGCTTCTGGTTTTCTTTATTATTGGTTTCTAATATTGTAGTTTTCCAACTTTTAAAATTATTCTTTCTGTAAGTGATTTGGACAATCAATGATTCATGTAGTTGGAGTTTGGATGATTGAAGAACTGTACTACTGTATGATTTTACTTAATTTCCAGGCCTTGTCTATTGTTTACGATGGAGTCCTGACAGCAAGGTTCTTCTCTCTGCATCAGCTGATTGTACTGTGTGTGTCTGGCGACCATTTAGTTCCAAAAATCCTCTGTTGCAGGTTTGTTATACCTTGTAATATGGTTAAACTAATACTAAGAATATTGCTGTTTCAGGAGCAATTCTATGTAATTTGTTTAATATGATAGATGTGTATGATTGCTATAAGTAGGATATCTGCAAAAGTTTGTTTGACACAAGCCCAGGATATATTCTAATTTTGAGTTAGCCCATCTACTGGTTTAGTTTGATAATATATTATATATTACACTATAATGCAAGGAATAATGCATTGGATTTTGAACAAGGGTAGGCCTAAATAACGATTGACAAAAGTTGAGTATTAACGAGAGCCAGCCATTATTACCCAAACATTAGTTAAGCTGCAAATAGTGTAGCCTTTATAATAAAAGGTTTAAATTACCTGTATCCGTCAAGTGATCCTGGTTTGTAGTTGGTTGACTACAGCTGTTTCATGTTAATATTAACACGTCGTCAGGTCAAATTTAAGCATTGATTTATTCCATAGAATGGTCGTCATAAGGTTTAAAGTTCACAAAAAATAACACATACACATACATGAAACATTTAACACTGATTGGCCAAAACACAGAACGAAAAAGCACGTAATTAACATCGTACGTGTCCGATGTTAATTACACGCTTTTTCGTTTTGTGTTTTGGCCAGTCAGTGTTAAATGTTTCGTGTACGTGTTATATTTGTGAACTTTAAACCTTATGACGACCATTCTATGGAATAAATCAAAGCATAAATTTGACCTGAAGATGTGTTAATATTAACATGAAACAGCTGTAGTCAACCAACTACAAACCAGGATCACTTGAAGGGTTCAGGCAATTTAAACCTTTTATTGTAAAAATCAGTGATCCAGAGGCTATACCATAAAAATGTAGCCTTTATGTTCCAAACTACTTTTGGTTCTTACTTCTCCTTTATATTTGTACTTTCGTCATTCGCTTATTGGGTCTGATGATGATTGGAGTGTCCAATCGTAATTGATCACCACTTACCATATTTTATATGTATTTATTTACCATCTTGTGAGTAAACAGAACAAGTGTAAATATATTTAAGTGTTATTTGATGTATTTTTGTACTTTCAGATGTAGAGAATACATCAAAATAGTTTCATCATGATCTGTTTTGTCATTTTCCTGGAGAAGAGAGAGATTAAAATGCCATCTTGAGCGTCATAGACAGAAAGACAGAAAATGGGATGGCACACGTTTCAGCTTTCCTATTACATGAAACGTAAAATAACCAAAACATTTATGATTCTAAGCAATTTACGGACAAAACTGTAATTTTATTTATATAGATTAACTGCAGATGATCCATGTAGATGAAATGTCCATTCCAGTATCCAAAGTAAATGTTCCCATACTTACTCTTACTCCCAGGGCCATGCATATCTAAGAAGATATTTGGCCGCACCAACAAAGCCTCTCCATCTTGCTCTATCCTCTGCATCCTCCTCAGTTGCTCCTAATTGCTCCATGTCTTTCTTTACTTGGCTCCACCATTTTTGTTTTGGCCTTCCTCTCGGTCGTCTTCCTTCGGGATTTCTTAGTAAAACTAATTTTAACTTATTTTGCTCCTCTCTTCGTAAAACATGTCCATTCCATCTAACTCTTCTACACTTAAATTCACACACCACATCTGGATCTCTGTAGAGTTCTCTCAGTTCTCTGTTGTGTCTCTTCCTCCATTCACCACCTTCATAAATTGGTCCATAAATTTTTCTTAAAATCTTATTTTCGAATGTGATTAACTTCCCATCACGTTTTAAATTTATTTTGTAACTCAACAGTACAGTACAGTATGTCTTGTTGTGTTGTAGATGCTGGCCCATCCATCGTTCGTATACTGTGTACAGTTTGTGAGGCCGCTCGTCCTAGTGTCTGGGTGTTATGATGCTACAGTGAGAGTGTGGAGGGGGGAGTCTCACAGCTCCTATCAGCTGATACAAGAACTCCTCGGCCACTCGGGGTTTGTGTCTTCCGTTTGTACGAGCGTCGACGGCTCCAAAGTGATATCCGCTGACAGTAAAGGGTTCCTCAGGGTCTACGATGTGGAAGATGATGGAAGGTAATGTTTGGTAGTTTAAAAATATCAAACTCCATCATGTATGTTTAATTTAGTTTCATCAATGAGTTGTACTAATTAATTGAATAAGCTTTCTGAGAGCATAATAAAATAGTCCACTTATGCCATCTTTGGGGTTTTTGACGTTTTTGAGCTTTGCCTACGTAGGAGAAAACATTAGTCTCTCGTTAATTAAAAAGAAGGCAGAAGAGCCTAATTGAGTTGGCATTTTCTATTGTAACTGTATGTCAATGAATAAAGCAAAAAGCTTTGTTTTGTTTCGCAGGAAAGCAATTCATGCCGTTTTACAATCTGCTCTCTTATATTTTTTAGTAATTTTTGTGTGTACACGACAACCTGTTTTACATTACATTTTAGGCTGTTTAGTAGGTTTTATTGCTCTGGATCAAAGTGCTAAAATAAGTCTGTCATCAATAAATCACACGGAGGTGGGAGATTATACGAGTCCTCCCCTCCACCTTTGATTATGGATCCGTGTGCTAAACACGCTTTTCCATTGATGCTGGGGGTTCATCTCACCCATCAGGTGGCTAGCGAGCACAACAGTCCTATCCAGGGGGATGGCTCAGCATACCCATCCGGAGTTGTCAGGCTCAGAGGCACAATTGACTTTCTGGTACCAAACACCCTGATTTTTATCCCACCTAGTAGTTGCGCCTAGTAGTGGTGACAGGTACCTGATCCCCTCCATCAGAATGTTTCCCCCATTATGGGAGAATTTTCCTGTTGTTTCATGTTACTGTTTTCCTCCTATTTTGTTTAACTGTAGCCTGTCAACTGAGGTTATGTATATTTCAGTCTATCAGCTGGTAGAGACTTGAGTGTGAGAGAGCTGAGAGGTAATGTGATCAGCAATGTGGTGACTCATCCAGGAGGCCACAGACTGTTGGTTCACAGCAGGAACTCTACTGTGTGTAGTGTGGACCTGGCTACTGGTGCTGTACTGCAGACTTTCAAGGTGAGAAAGCACTGATCACAATCAAACTTGATTTATTCTCATTTCTCAGTGATACTGTAATGCTCATCAGGCTGGTAACGATTTTGCATCTCGGTAAAACAATTATACTTTAAGTTGTCCAGCAAGCCATAACCTGTAAGTAGGTCTACTCATTTGTTTGAAGTATGACTCTTTGGCCAGACAATGTTTGGGCATTTTATGTTTCTTGATCTTCTTGTATATTTCAGTTTTGGCTGTGTTTCAATACCAATCTTGTCAAATGTAGACACTTTCTCACCTGAAGATTGGATAAAATTACAGATCCCTAACGTTATGATTTTTATACTGATCATGTTGGATACCTCAACATTCATGAACCATTTACCCACCCAGGGCTGCAGCAGTGAGCGTATGCAGACAGGCTTGTGTGTGAGTGCGTGTGGCAGTCTAGTGTTTGCTTGTGGTGAAGACGGCGCCCTGGTGGTGTGGGATGGACACACTGGTGCACTGAGAGCTGTCTATTGTGGCCTGCTACCACCAGGCAGTGCTGGAGTGCATTACCATCCTCACGACCATCTGCTAGCTACTGTGGGACTTTCACAACCACCACTGTACATACTGGGATATCACAGGTTGGTAACCAACCCTCCTATCTTAGAGTTGCATAGATTTGTTTTCACTTTAAGTTTTATTTGAATATCTTTTGTAATTTTAGTACTGAAGTCCACTCTCAAAGGCGCAGGTGCCACCCTTACTTGCTTTCCTTATTCACAACCACTCCACACACTTACTACACTTAAACTTATTTCAACTTATTCCAACCATTCCACCCAGAATCCATAGGACTATCCAAATCCAAAATGGCTGACAGTTGAAAATGCAAAAATTCTACCTTGGGGTTATTTCTAAGATAACATTGGTTTAACTTTTTTAGAAACCCCACCACCCCTCCCCCCAGTAAAATTTACCCAGAAACTCCCTGTGAATACGCCAAGTGTCTGGGGGTCTGTTATGGGCAAGGCAGGTAATCATAGCCGCATTTAAATATCCACCCACTCATACACACAATCCCCTGCTAACTTGAGTATCCCTTTAAGTATTCATCTATTATTGTTGTAACTAAAAAAAAATCTATCCTAGACACAAACTAAAAGGGTTATTATTCCTGATCAGTCAAAATTGTTGATATCTTGATTTATGAAAGTCTTGTTTCAACACCACCGCTTTATAGCAATATCAAAGATCGAGTACACCACACTATAACGCGTTATTTGATTTTATATCTTCTATAACAGTAATATTGATGCTCCTGGAAGCGAGCTAGTCTAGTTGTAGAGCTTGGAACATCGGTCCCAAATTCAAATCCAGCCAATCACCAATGGATTTTATCTAAGTAATAATGCCACAACCGCTATAGCGAGTCCTTAAGTAATGCAACTAGACAGTATCAGTAATGTGACACATGCTTTCTCCCATTAGCTTATCAACAATTCGATTTTCCATTATTTTACAGTCATTTTTGAACCGTAATTTTTACAGCAATGGGAATCATACCGTTTTGTTCAGAATTACAAGGGCTAAAACATACAAAATTTTAACCAAAATCAGTTAGGCCATCTTTGTAAAAGATTTTTTTCTTTATTTTATAAATTTCTATGGGTATGGGAAAATCACCATTAAAAATAAATACCCCCGCCGCAGCAAACCTGCAGACTAAGCGAATTTCCATTTGCCTGATTGGATTTACACTAAAATGTCTACTTAAAAATATAACATTTATTTCCTATTTAAATAGAATTAGTATAACAAGTACTTAGGTTTGCTGCATCAGGGAGGGTAAAACTGTTTTTTTTTGTTTTTTTTTTGTAAAATGTTATAGTTAGTAAGAAATAAAAACATTTTCCAAATTTGATCAAAATATGTTCATAAACAAGCAAACTACAACAGTTTACTTATTCTCCATAAGAATAACATGGGAATTTTAAATTTACAGTTTTTTGGAATTTTCTCCGTAACCATTAGGCGCATAATAACGCTTCAATATACTAAATTATTTGTTTTTTTGAGCTCTACAAAATGGTTTGGAAAGAAATTGCTAAATTTTATGTTTTTTGGGTCAAAAATGGGAAAAACCTATTTTTACCCCATAAAACCCCCCATAAACCCCCGTTCCCATGGTCCGATCATGCTGGATCGCGAACTCGTTCAAATAAACGTAGGTTTACACGTTTGTACCAAATTTTATCAAAATCGGATCATTTTTGCTCGAGTTATCGTGCTAACGGACACATATATATATATATAAATATATAAATATATATATATATAAATATATAAATATATATATATATATATATATGAATTTGAACGGATGGTGTTTTTGGCCTCTAGGGACCTCAAAACGAAAAAAAAAAATCGGTCCCGCGTCCAGGTCTTACCATGAGTACTACGGTAATAGCTTATTCCCTATATGGGAAATTCGCTAAAATAACAAAAACTAAAACGTCTCAAGATACTATGGATACTAAGATACTCTGGTACGATATTGGACCACAGGTGCGAGTTACATATTGTATACTATGTAGCTCTGTACACATCCACACATCACTTAAAGAAATCGAATTTTTTCGTTCAGGGGGAATTAATTAATCTTAACAGCTGTTTTAGTTAAACAAGTTTGTTCTATGATGTTCAATAGCATTATAAAGTCACAAGGTTTACCAACAGGGTGCAGCTGCAGCACTATCAATTTATTGTTTAAATGTATGACATCAGCTAATTTGAATTGTTTATTGTAGTAACCCCATAACCAACTTTTTGATTTTCTTGGATGCCAGGAACTGATATTATAGATAGATATGAATGTTTGGAGTATGTCAATAACGTGAAAATTACTTGACCAATTGAGCTGATTTTTTTCATGAGTAGAGCCAATATAAACACTGGCTTAAGTAACCAAAATCAGGACTGTCCAGACAGAATCGGGACGGGTGGCAACCCTGCTACTAGGACTCTGTCCTGACAGGTTTATTAAGTCCAATGTTGTTCATCAAAGTAACCATGAAAAGCCTTTCGAAATGCCACTCAAACCAGTATGCCAATCAATAGTTTTATTAATAGTTATGAAGTCAAACGCCTTGTTTGACTTCATAACTGAAGTCCGCGGGTAACATCTAGTATTTAAATAAAATCCTACTAAGAGATGTTTTCTCATCAAATTTGTTGTCATTTAATTACATTTATTTTCAACAGAAACGCAACTGGAGAAGACATTGGCCTTCACATTATGAAAAACGAGATAACCGCTGTGGACGTTATCGAGGCAATGAAAAAGATAAAGACTTCCAACAAATGGCAAAAAGCTGCTTCCAAAGTCCTCCAAAAACCATCTAGCTCAACTACTGCAACGGACAAAGGGTTGAAAGATAAAAAGAAGAAAAAAGCTGGGAATGTCGAAGAATCAAGTGGTAACCAACCGCAGAGAGTCAACTGGCCTAGTCTTCCGCAACTGGAGCATGCCATTGATAAGTCTTCTGGAGAGAAAGATCTGCGATTGTTGGAAATCATTCGCAGAATGGATAACATCATACTGGCAGCAAAACAGTCTAGTCAAGTACAACAATAATTTTGTTTACCTCAACCTTATTCTAGTCAAATTGTATTACCTCTATGTATTAATAGTTATTTTATTAAAGAATTTTTATATGTAGCTTACTTTATGTACTCGCCCTATTTCATTATGTATTAAATGCTTAAGGAAGCTGAGTGATAATGTATTTCCAAACATGCTAGACTTTTAGGAGTCAGCCTTGCTAAATCTGTTAAGGCTTTTATATCTCCGAATCAATGTTTAGCATAAGGACCGGAATAGTAGGCTTAGTCTAGTGACTGAGGAACTGGTAGGGAAAGCCTTAACGTTCAAAAACGGAAACCATGAAAATCACAATTTAACCCTGGAACTCAAGGAACATTTCTTCCAAACTTTAAGGAATTATGCTATTTATCAACATTGTGTAAAAAATCTTGGTTACAAAATACAGGGTGGCCCATAAGTCAGTTGACAAATGCATTCAATGAAATAATAATAATACACAACAAGGTTGGAATAAATATCTATTACAAATTCATAAATCAAAAACAACATTACAAGATATTATAAGTTTACTAAAATTATGTCTAATCTTATTTCAGAAGGTCCTCTAAGTGGTGTCCACGCTCTCTTATGCATCCTTCAAATCTTTTCAACACAGTCTTATAAATTCTGCCAAAAATGTTTGAAAATTCAAATATTTCCGGACTGAATTTTTTACAAACGTGTTGAGACTTTTTAAAGGGGTTGTATTCATTGCATCAACTGACTAGGACAACTGCACAACTGACAACTGACTGGGGTTGTAGGGTAGGGCCACCTGGTACAAGAAAAATATGGTGCGCATGACTGTAGGTGGGTGCTTATCAAGTGTAAGAACACTTTGATGACAATATGGAGGCAATTGCACCACCCCAAACGCCATTGATGTGAAAAGTCTGTTATTTTCTGGACGGCCATTGTAATTTGATTTGTCCCCCAAGGAAGATTCAATGAAATCTAAGAAAACTAAGTGGACCGATTGAGTTGGTGATAATTTTGGGGTTTTATGAAACAAAATTAGCTTACAGTAACTTCAAAAATTAGATTCATCTCTATATCCCCTTATTTTAACCCCTTGGAGATGGGTTGAAGTAAAAAACATTAAATACGTAGGCCTAGTACTACATGAAAGCAAAACAGTCTTTTTTAATAGGAAGATGCAGATTTACCTTTGTCTAAAGCTCAAACTATAATGCCATCGTCAGACATGGAAATTCAGCTAAATAAGCCTCGTTATAGTCAAAGCACAACACAAACAACATTTTACGATTAACAAAAACCAACTTCCACCCAAGCCGGACATCGTTTATTTAAGGTGGACCTCTACCGCCAGCTAAGCCACACATTATTGAGCTTAGTCAGGATTGCACACTACGGGGATCGAACCCGCGCATGTAGAAATACCTCAACGCTACACTTGTCAGTGCAACACCTTTACCGACTGAGCTACATGCCACCACTGACCGCGTAGATTGCAGTTATAAGCAAGCACACGAAAACACTAGCGCTTGTAGGTCTGATTCTTCAACGAACTACTTAGAGTGCCACTTTGCAGCAGTAGGCCTACGACTGCTACTTTTAATCATTCACAGACTAACTGGGTTGTAGAAGACTGACAAAACCGACCTAACATGATTAGATTAGTTTGTCAAAAATGTGTTTGCACGTTCAACTTGAAATGCTTTTCTCTCCATGAAATATGTATGTTTAAATCGAATTGATGCATTTTTCTTGTAGAGGAAAATCTAAACAAAAAAGAAAATCTAGATAAAAAAATAAAATTCCATATTTTTCACCATTTTCAGTACCAACACCCCTTAAATTAATACCCAATATGACCATAAAAATAGATGTTTAGGGGTCAATTTAATTAATACCAAAATCCAACAAATTTTGTTCATCACACAGATACTAGTAATAATTTTTCATGAATTAAAAGACTCAACTAAAATCTTTTGCAACTAATGAAAATACTCACTCTGTTAAAAACAGTTGTTTTCCGACTTACTCATAGCCGCATAAATGGTCCATGTATATTCGTGTACTGTGTTCAGCGTACACTGCCTTTCCAAATCATAAACACAACTACTAACATACAGTAACTAAACTAGACTCCCTCTTATCCGGACTTCACTCGGCGGAAATGACATCTCTTTAACCTGACAATATTTATCAGCACATTGGTTTAACCAGACTAGATCGGCAGGAAGTGGGCGGTACTGAAACGACTGTTCTCGTGGGAAAGATTTGAGACACGTGTCTAAATACAATTCTCTCCTAAATTTAGGTTGAGTATCACAGTAAACCGTTTTAACGAGTTTTTTGGGGAAGTCAGTATAACCGGAAAAAAGTTATCATATTAAATGAGGAGTCAGGATAAGAGGGAGTCTACTGTAGGCCTACTGCAATGAACCATTGCAGGAATCACTTTTTAGTTTTGATCAAAATCCTAAATACAAAGGTGGAGTAAAACATCAAAAAATATGTTAAGACATTTAATTAATAAATGGTCCACAAAATAAAAAAATAACAGGTTACTTCTTGTAGCCACAGCTGCGCCTCCTGCCTCGTGCACGTTCGAACTTGCGGCCCTTGGAGCGGACGTAGGGCTTGGTGTGACTGTGGGGCACTCCTGGCGCAGGGCCGAAGTGACGTACTGCCTCCCTGGCATTACGGCGGCCTAAACACAACACACTCAGTCAATCACACATATGGTAATAGTGAGGGCCTGTCCATTCCACATGGTAGTAATACATTAACTGCCATTATCTGTAAAGTGATTGTTATAAATAGATAAACTAAACTTCTATATGAGCAGAAGAGCTTTTTAGTTGAACTCATGATAAGCACTGACCAACCCAGCTAATCTTAATTATAAAAAGAAATATCAGACAAACTTTATAAGATGGCTTGTTTGATCAGTCCATGTTTTAAACTTTAATTCAACATTCACATCTACATGAAAAAGTGGATGTAATAATTTGCGTGGTCTGGGAGTTGAAATACATCAGTAAACTAGGGGACTGCGGGTCCCATTATATTTTCGGGTTTAAGGCCAAGCCAATAAGTTGGCAAAATAGGTTGATTCGGGCTGGAAATAATTTTATGGCCAAGCTCGTGTCAGATTTTGGGTCAAGCCAAGTTTTATTTTTGCGATTACAGGTTTTTCCTAAGATGCACAATTATTAAGGCTGTAGCTGATAAATGGGCCTATCTAAAAAACGTTGTTTTGAGTTAATCTCTGTTAAAGTTTCGAGGTTATGTTTGGCTGTCTGCATTGGCAGTCCTCTATACTTAAAGGGCCTGGTAAGACCAGCTCTGCTGTAAGGGTCATACGAACCAAACAAACTGAAATATGCCATTCCAAATTATCTAAGATTATATACTAGAAGACAAAAGGGGAGCAAAATAGTTATTCTCCTCTCAAAGGGTTTGTCCTAAAGTTTTACACTAAAGGCCTTGTTTAGGTTATGTTTGGCTGCTATCAGCGTTGGGACTCTCGTCTATGCTAAAAGGGCCCTGTGACGTCAGCTGGCTTTCAGAGTCATACCTACCAAACAAACTGAAATACATCATTCCAAGTGATAAATGATTATAGGTACTAGAAGACATAAGGAAGCGAAATAGCCAATCTCATCTATAAGGGCCCAAGGCCCCTTTAGCAGCTACAGTCTCTGATTGTGATAAATTTGCCGCATTCGCAAGTGACGTTAATGTTCACGTTTTCACCGCCATGAGCGAAAGATCATGTGCAATATTGTACAAACCGACTGTAGTATTACAATTGATATTTTATAAGAAACTAGCTGTACCCACGGGCTTTGTGCCGTTTAACTTCACAAGTGAGCTCCAGCTCGTTCGTATGGCTCAATCACGTCCTGGTTGAAGTTCGTTCGCTAAGCTCACTCATCTTCAGGTTGAAGGTCGTTCGCTATGCTCACTCACCTTTTGGTTGCAAATTAGCTGTTGTCATAAATTGTTTAATTGACACAGCTGTTAAGATTCATTAATTCCTTTTAAATATGAAAAATCATAAGGTTAACATGGGAAACTCCAGAGCCACTGGGGCGGAGCCCGAAAGCCCGATCAGAATAAAAACTATACTTAGTTTTCCTATTTAATGCCCAACGAATCGGTGTACCGAATTTCAGCCTCCTAGGTAAATGGGAAGTGGGAGAATTAGTGATGAGTGAGTGAGTCAGTCAGTGAGGGCTTTGCCTTTTATATATTTAGATTAAAATTTCAGAACCAAAATTTAGCCCAAGCCTTAATTTAGTTTTTGCTTAATTTTTTGGAACGGAAAACTGGAATATGTAATTAAACAGAAAATTGTTAATATCACCGTTATTCCATAATTTTATACAACATAGTTTTGATGTGATCACGAGTCTAAAATTGGTAGATATTAAAAATTTACGAGTAGCGAGGATATTTTCAAGGTTTATCCACTAACAGCTCAATCCAAGCGTTTTCACGGATGACAAAATTTACGGATCATAATAGATTTAAGGTTGTAACAGTTTAAATAGGCTGCCTAACATGTAGAAAATGACAAACTTTTAAGAAGATCAAGGTTTTAAAACTAGCTTAAAAATTAGACTAGAGCTACAAGGTTTTACAACAATGCACACCTTGCATAAGAACGGTGTTCTTGCCAGTAGGAGCCCTGAGAGCCAGCTGATCAAAAGTGATGATCTCTCCACCAGCCTTGATGATACGAGCTCTAGCCCTCTCTGTCACTCTCAGAGCACACACCTGTTGGTACAGAACAGTTATAAGAGACCTTTCACAAGAAATGCAAAAACTTGGAATAATAAGTTAAATACAACAATTAAAAATTATTTAGAATATTTCACGGTTTGATAAAACTTGTAAAGGAAACTTTCCAACTCAAACTTCTTTAAAAAAGGCTGTTCAGTGACAGTAAAATACTTAAATTATTTTGTAGTGCAAGTTTTGTGTTTCTTGGGACAGAATGGTCTCCATACCTTTCAAGTTTAAATTAATTAAGAATGTGACTTTTTGGCACACATATTATGAAAACACAAAATAT